CGGGCGGGGAGCGGGACCCTGGCCGAGGAGGTGAGGGGGAGGTAAGGCCCCCGGCCGGGCTGCGGCGCGCGGAGCAGGAAGGCTGCCCGCCGGCCTCCTCTGAGCTCCCCAGGCCGCCCCGTCGAGGTGGCCTCTGGGCTCGGGCGGGTTGGGCGCGCGACCAGGGCCGCCTCGGACTCTGGCCCCGAGCAGAGGCGCGGAGAAGGGTCCTTATTGTTGGCTGGCGGGGTGGCGGCTGCACGGGCTCCAGGAGAGCGGGTGAGAACAGGTGAGGGGTCCGGAGTCCAGGCAGGGGCCCCGAGGGATGGGCGACGAGTGAGAGGAGAGTCCACAGGCGCCTATGGGCCCCGCGCCCTGGGGCTGCAGGGGTCTCGGCGCACCCGTGGTCCGGTGATGGTACGGGGAGGTCCGGCCTCCCGCCGCCGTCGGGGCCTCACTCTTTTGTCTTAGTCTGCGGGGTCTGGAGAAGCGGGCTGGGACAACTGCCCCAGCGGAGGGGGGAGGCGAGGGAGGGTGGCCTCGGTCCTCATTGGCCTTGCATTTAGGAACCGCCTGGCCCCTGAAGCGTTTGAGTTTGTGACTTTTGGTGGGAGTTGTTAAAGGAAGCAGGGCCGGGCTTAATCTCCCATTTCACAGACGAAGTAACTGAGGCAGGCCCAGAGACATGGCAGTTCCTTCCCAGCCTGGAATTACCTGGAATCTCTTTTCCTTTCTCTCTCCCTGAACAGCAGGGACAAGGTGTCCTCGACTCCCTTTCCAGGCGGGAACATGGAGGTTCCCAGTCGCTCTGAAACTTGATCTCCCTAAGGAAGCCCTAAGGAAATGCTCAGTTTGGAATTTGAACAAAGCTGTTATCTCACCAGCAGAGAGGGTCAGGAGCCAGGGAGGAGAGGAGGATCACTGCAGGTTCCTTCTTGGCACATAATTTCCACTTAGTGCTGGGGTGTTCCTGGGCACATAATTTCCCCTGGGGTCACTGTGCAGGCCGAGAGATGACTGACTTCAGCTTGCCCTGCACACGCAGCCCAAAACACAGGGAGCTGCGGCTGCCCAGCTGAGCTAAGGGACGTGCCCACCGCAGCCCACCCCAAGGAAGGAGGGGGTTAGGCAGCCCAGCCAAGGTAATGGATCTGCGTAGGCGCCCCCAAGGGGCCCCTGACCTGGGGGGTGGGGGTGGGGATCAGGCTTCTGGAGATGGGCCCCGCCCTCTGGACTTGAGGATTTCTGCTTCTGTCTTTGATTAAGATCAGCCAGCAGCAGCTCAAAATAGGAAGCTGGCTTCCCGGTCTCTCAGCTGGGACCTTGGGCCGTGACTTTGATGATGGAGGTGGCACCTTCCCCGGTGGAGCATTTGTGTGGATTAAATGAGATAACGTTTGTGGTGTGCTCCCCGCTGTGCCCGGTGAGCTGTAAGTTCTCAGTCTATGGCACCTCTGGTTTATTTTCCTCATTACCGTTCTTTTCACGGAGGAGGGCCTTCCGGGAAGCACAGGGCTGGCCAAGGCGGGGCCGCCCTTCTGAGGAGAGGACACTTGGGTCCTGGCACTCCCCTCAGTGCACTTGAGAAAAACTCCGTTCCTCCTCTCAGCCTTTGGGCCTGCAAGACGGGCCCCTGCTGGCCCCTTGACCGCACCTCTTGCCCCTCACTCCTTCCTCTGTGGCCTCCACGGGTCAGCTCCTGGAGCTGTTCCCTGGGCCCAGAACATTCTTCCCTCGGGCATTTGCATGGCTGGCTCCTTCACAGTCCTCAGGTTGGTGCAAGGTCGCTTCCTCACCAGGCCCTGCCTGGCCACCAGCCCTGCCCGGCCCGTCAGCCTCTTTCTTCGTGGCCCTTAGCACTCACGATCAGAAATTCCTTGCTGACGTGCTTTCTAGTCTGGCTCTCCCACCAGGAAGTCTGGTACGAAGGGCCTGGTCGCCAGCACCCTGGGTAACGCGGAGCCCAGCGCAGTAGGACTGTGCCTGGCATGTGGTAGGACTGCCGTCAATATTTGGAGGTGAGATCAGGCCGGCGTGGAGCAGCGTGGGCCTGGTGGGGCTGGAGGGGGGGAGGGCAGGTGGTAAACCGGCCCCACCGCAGTTGGAGACGCCAAGGGACAGTGGAGGGCCAGCATGCTGACTCCCTCCCGCTGTGACCTCGGCCACGTGCCTCCTTCTCTGAGAAGCAGTGTCCCCACGTAGCTCTAACGGAAGGATGGGCCTGGGTGACCCTCCCCACTCCTACTTTCCAGGGTTCCCAGGTTGGGGCCCCAGACATCTCTCTTGAATCCCAAAGGCTGTGGCTAAGAGGAGGAGGGGTGCAGCCCTGTGTCAGGTGTGTCCCTGGAGTGGGTGCATTATGTATCAGACAGCATGTGGCAGGGCAGATCAGGGTTGGCAGACTTCTGGAGAGGGCCAAATAGTAACTGTGTTAGGCTCTGCAGGCCAGTCTCTCACACTTGGCTGTGTTCCAATAACCTGTATTTAACGAAGCTGGCAGTGGGTCAGACTTGGTGTAGGCTTGCCAGCCCTGGTGTCGATCACATGTGACACCCAACTGTCACGTACAGAACCCTGGCCACCCAGCCACACTCAGGGCGTGTCTCCCCAGCCACCAGCGCTCACCGAGAGCACATTCAGCCCAGCCTAGGTGGTGGGGTCACTTGTGTTCAGGAGGGCCAGCCCAGGATCCTGCCGCCCTTCCGGACCTTCCAAGAAAGAGCAGGTCCGTTTACCTCCCTGCTCCCAGATGCTGTCCGCCCTCTGTCAGCGCCCTGGGTACCACAGCGGGGTCAGCACAGGCACTGTCCCAGGGCCAGAGGCTGTCCTGAGGCAGGCTGGCCCCAAGAGGAGTGGGGACAGGCTCGGTTCTCCTCCCCTGTCCTAAGGGAGGGAGGTCACTTCTCTTGTGAGAAGAATAGAATGAAAAAGAGGATTCCCTGTCTGCTGCTTGTGGTGGGGTGGGGGGTGCCTGCCGTATTTACCAAGAAAACCTCCAGGCCATGTCAAATCAGGCTGCGAAGTTATGTGGGGAGGGTGGGTGGGTGTCAGGAGAGCCCCAGGGGTCCTAGGGGTAGCCTCTGGAATGTTCAGACTGTCCACAGCTGAGGTCCAGTGATTATCCTGGGCTGTCACCGATGGGTTTGCAACACAAAGCGAAGATCAGCAACCTAAAAATAGCGGTTCTTACATGAGGTGGTGTGGGCAGCCCTGCTCAGGACGCCTTGTGGTCTGAGAGGGTGAGTGGCGTGTGACTCGGGGCCAGCGCCCCGCTTGTGCAATGCATCCAGCCCCCGAGGGGCCCACTCCAGCTTCCCGTAGGTGGCCTGACTTACAGAGCTGCAGTGTGGTGACCCAGAAACACCACACGTGTGATCAGCTTGGCCAGGAGCGTGCTGTGTGTGCCTGTACACGTGTGCACATGTGGTGGTGGTGGTGGCGGTGGGGTCGGCTGTCTCCTGCTTCCTCTGCAGAGCAAGAGCTGAGGCATGCATGGCGGGCCCTCAGGAGCTGGGAAAGGTGCATTCATTCGATAGCCACTTACGAAGCACCTACTGTGTGCTCAGTGCTGTTCCAAGCGTTGGGGATACAGCTGAACCGGAAAAGGCTCCTGCTCTCATGGAGCTTAGAACTGAGTGAGGGAAGTAGAAAACCCACAAGCAAACAATGGATAGACGAGAAAATACAGGTCCTGATAAGTCCTGTGAAGAAAAAATGAAATAGGGCAACGTCCTAGAGAACGGGTCAGCAAACTCAGGGAAGAGAGTAAACATTTTAGCCTCTGTGGCCGTGTGATCTCTGTCATCACTGCCCAGCTCTGCCATTGCAGCATGAAAGCAGCCACAGACAATTGTAAATGCATGAGCGTGGCTGTGTTCCAATAAAACTTTATTTACAGACACAGGCTGTGGGCCGGGTTTGGCCTGCAGGCCAGAGCTTGCCGGCCCTGTCCTGGGTGCGGGGAGAAGCTGCCTGCGCGGGGGTTGTCAGAGACACCGTTTCTGAAAGGGAGATGTGAACTGGCGGCCAGGTCTCAGGAAGGAGGCAGCACAGGGCAGCCTGCTGCAGGCAGGACGTGATGGCGCCTTGCTGTCGATTCAGCGGTGGAGTTGGGTGGTGAGAAGTGGGCAGACTCGGGCAAGGTGTGAGAGATACAATGATGAAACTTGCTCATGGGTTGAATGTTGAGGGTACAGGAAAGAGTAAATTCAGGGGTGAGCCCTAGATTTGGGGCTTGAACAACTGGGTGAATGGCGGTCCATTTACGGAGAAGAGCTGGAGGGAAAAACTGGCTTTGTGTAGGGCGTGTTGAGTTTGAGGACCTCAGATGAGCAGGTGGGAGATCACATGGGCGGGTAGACGCCCACACCTGCCATTTAGTGGAGAAGCCAGGACTGGAGGCTTGACCTGGGTGATCTTCAAAGCCGTGCGTCCGGTGGATCACAGGGAGTGTGTGGACAGAGCAGAGGGAGCCCGGCTGAGCTCTGGGGCCACCAACATCTCGTGCTTGGCAGAGGAGGACAGAGGAGGCCTCTCGCTCCATGGGGGAAGGCGCTGTAGCAGCACGGTCTCCAGGGGTGCAAGCTCTGGGCCCCCTGCTTACTAGCGGAGCCTCCCTTTCCCTCCTGTCAGGGCCGTTCTGCCTCCCAGGGTTGGAGTGGAGACTAAATGAGTAGTCATGCTTGACGTGGAGGAAGCACTCAGCACGTGGTACCGTTGGTGATGGCAGTGGGGCCGCTGGGCTCCCGGGGGCTGAGTGACTGGGCTGCAAGATCTGTGGTGGTTTGGCTTGGTGGAGGGGGGTGTCAGTGATGGATTGGGGCTGCAGACACCCTAACCGCCCGGCACTCACTGTCCCAGGACATGCACCTCCACGCTTCCGCCTGGGGCAGGCCCGCAGTGCCGGCTGGTTGGTGCTCCCGGGAGCCTTGCTGGGAGTTGGGGCTCAGTATCCTTGGGCCTCAGGTGGACAGCTGAGGTGTGTTCTGCCCCGGCTTCCAAGGCTCCCCCGGGGTTGAGCCCCCACTGTCTGCAGTGGCATCCTGCTCAGTTCCCATCTCCACTGCTGCCTGCCCCTCCCTGGCTGCTTCCACATGCCCCTTGCTGGGGAGTCCCCCTTCACCTCCTGGGAACCACTTGTCTAAGGGTCGGCTTCTGGGCCGTGAGTTCCTTTGGTTGGGTGGCCCTCTGGGCTCGCGGGGTCGCAGTGGGGTAGTAAGTGGGTTGGCTGGCTCGGTGGGTTGGTGAGTTGGGGGGTGGGCAGTGTGGTCCTGACCCTGGCTGTGCCCGGGTAGCTGACACCTCCTCTGCCGCTCCTCTGCAGCCGAGCGCAGAGAAGATGGTGGACTACCTGGCGAACACGGAGATCAACAGCCAGCGCATCGCTGCCGTCGAGAGCTGCTTTGGGGCGTCGGGGCAGCCGCTGGCGCTGCCGGGCCGGGTGCTGCTGGGCGAGGGCGTGCTGACCAAGGAGTGCCGCAAGAAGGCCAAGCCGCGCATCTTCTTCCTCTTCAACGACATCCTGGTGTACGGCAGCATCGTGCTCAACAAGCGCAAGTACCACAGCCAGCACATCATTCCCCTGGAGGAGGTGACGCTAGAGCCGCTGCCCGAGACCCTGCAGGCCAAGAACCGCTGGATGATCAAGACGGCCAAGAAGTCCTTCGTGGTGTCGGCCGCCTCCACCACGGAGCGCCAGGAGTGGATCAGCCACATCGAGGAGTGTGTGCGGCGGCAGCTGCTGGCCACGGGCCGCCAGCCCAGCACGGAGCACGCGGCGCCCTGGATCCCGGACAAGGCCACGGACATCTGCATGCGCTGCACGCAGACGCGCTTCTCCGCCCTCACGCGGCGCCACCACTGCCGCAAGTGCGGCTTCGTGGTCTGTGCCGAGTGCTCCCGCGAGCGCTTCCTCCTGCCCCGCCTCTCGCCCAAGCCCCTGCGCGTCTGCAGCCTCTGCTACCGCGAGCTGGCCGCCCGAAAGCAGGAGGAGGAGGAGGAGGAGCAGGGCGCGGGGTCCCCGGGGCAGCCGGCCTACCTGGCCGGGGCCGTCTGCGGAGCGTCCAGTGGAGACGACGACGACTCGGACGAGGACAAGGAGGGCAGTGGGGACGGCGACTGGCCCAGCCGCGTGGAGTTCTACGCCTCAGGCGTCTCCTGGTCCTCCTTCCACAGCTGACGCCGGGTCTGCAGACGTGAGGGAGGGCCCCAGTCCCTTCCCCATCTGGCAGACGCCACTGCCCAGGCCCCTGAGTCCCCGAAGCAGCGCCCCCGAGGACCCTACCCCACGGGTGGCGGGCGAAGCAGGAGTGGCCCTTCTCTGGACCCCAGTGCTTTTTTTCTGGACGTTGGCATGCTTCTGTTTCCACTTCAGGTAATTATCTTTCCATTTAGCAAACCCAAAACACTTAGATCTTTGGGGAAGAAATGCCATTTCTCAGCCCTATGAGCCGTAGCTCCAGAGGACCCCTGGAGTCAGACAACCCCAGGCACCTTTAGAGACCAGAGGGAAGACAGGCCTGGAGGGAAGTCCCCTTGTCCCTGAGGCCTTGAACCACAGCCCGTGCCCCCCAGACAAGCACACTCCGGGGAAGACAAGCCTGGGAGGCCTCCAGGAATCAAGGCCTGCCCACTCACCTTGCTGATGCCCACCTGCCTGGCCAGCTGGGCCTTGTCAGACCAGGCATGTGGGCTCCAGAGCCAGGCAAGAGCTGGCCGTGCTGAGGGTGCCCACCAGGCCCAGGGACTGCAGCCTGGGCTCCCCGTGGTGCAGGGTGGCCTGCCAAGGCCTCTGGCCCTGTCTCACCACTGTCCAGGTGTCCAGGCTCTGATGCCTCTCTCGGTCCTGTCCTCCTCTCTCCCTGGGGCTGGGGACAGCAGTGTTTTCTGTTAGGTCTCTTCATTGCAAGTGACAGAAACCTACCCAGACTGACTTAATAATAAAAAGAAAGTTCATTGACTCGTAGTTGAAAAGTCTAGGAGCGTTCTTGCTCAGACGCGGCTTGATCAAGGGCTGGAACCATGCTGGGTGGCAAGTGTTGACAGCTCTTCACCACACTGGGCGCCCCTGGGAACACCGGCAGCGCAGGGCGGCCAGACGTGCGCACCGCAGTGTGGCTGGTTCTCGAGGACACGGCCCAGTTCGTCCGGGTGCTGTGACCGGGCCCGGCGGCTGCAGCCCTGTTCACCTGGGGAGAGTTATCTACATGGACAGACAGGGGGTAGAGGGAACAAGGGGCCGTTGTCCGGCTCTGCGTGGGCCTTCCGGGTGGAGAGCTCTCCCGTGCAGCCTCCCGCCCACCCGCTCCCGGGGTGGTGCTGTTGAGCGGGGGCCCCGGGTGTAGCCGCTGGCCTTGCTCAGAGCGAGTGTGTGTGGCGGCTGGGCTTGAACGCCAGCCTCCTGCTGCCTGACCCACACCTGGCCACAGCGTTGCGGGGCCCTCAAGGCATCGCCTGCATTTTCTTCTGCACAGTCATTCCCTGTCACCTGGCCGGCCTTGGCCAGAGCCTCCTGCGGCAGAGAGAGGGGTCACTGTCAGCTGGAAGTGGTGACTCTGGGGCAAGAAAGCTTCCCCCAGCCCATGGGCACAGTGCGGAAACCCCATCAGGGCTGCAGTCCCTGGGGAAGGATTGTCCTCTCTGGCCAGTTCTCGAACCTTCATGAACAAACAGAGGCCAGAGGGGTTTGTCAAAGGCTGACTCTGATTCAGCGTGTTGGGCTCGCTCCCAGGGTCCGCAGGCTCCACCGGCTGTTGACAGGTGGCCACCCTGTGAGGGAGGGTGGTCGGGGTGGGCGTGATATGAGTGCCCAGGGCCTGGCCGTGGCCAGCCCTCCCACTATGGGCAGAGGGACCGGGTGGGGAGGGTCAGAGGTGCTTCCAAGAGAGGCTTATCGGTTTACAAACCCTTGGCTCACAAGGGTTTGTACACACAAACTGGTTCAGGCTGGTTCTGCCTGGGCAGAGGGGTCAGGGCAGGACAGCTGACGGGGTGAAGGGCAACTTCCTGAAGGCAGATTGGGTGTCCTCAGAAACCAGGCCCAGCGGCCCCTCTCTTCACCCCAGGCCTGGTGCCGGGGCAGGGGCAGGTTCCTCCCTGCAACTTCCCTGCCTAGTGGAGGGGAGAGCAGCAGCCGGCTCGTGTTCGTGTGGACAGCAGAGAGGACTGCCCACAGCCGATCCCGGGCACTGCCAGCCTTCTCTCCAGGTGTCTGCCCAAGGGCGCAGAGCACAGGGCCCTAGGCGGGCGGGGCAGGCGGGCTGAGGGCTGTGTCCTGCTCGCCAGGGCTGGGCGAGTGCTGGCTCGGCCCTCAGCCTGGGACCCTCAGCCCGCTCCTCTCGCACCCCCCAGGGCGGGGACAGGGCTGCTGATCCCCTGAGCCCTGGGGTGTTAGGACCTGTCAGGACCCAAGGACTCGAGTGGCCAGCAGCCTCTGGGGCCCCCACCCCTGCAGACGCACTCACTGCTGCATGCCACTCTGGGTGCTGGGGACTCAGCGTGAGGGAGATGCACAAGGTCCCCACTCTCTGGGAGCATCCGGCCCAGCGGGGGAGATAGACAGGCACAGGAGCAGGTGGTGTCCGTCCGGGCGTGCTGTGACGGGAGCATGGCCTGGGCATGGTGTGGGGGCGGGCGGAGGGCAGCACTCCGCAGAGTGGTGAAGATGAGTGAGTGATGCCGGTTGGGGCGGTGGCCTTCCAGACAGACGGAACGGCAGGTGCAAAGGCCCTGAAGAGAGGAGCACGTGTGTTGCGGAGCAGCGTGGCCAGGCTGAGGCAGAGAGGCGGAGGGGCAGCTCAGCTGTGCCGGGGAAGAGCCTGCCTGACGGCTGTGTGCAGGTGGCTGAGGCAGGGAGAGTGGCTGTGCAGCTGCCCGCTCCCCCTGGGATCCCCGAGGGGGACCAGGCTCCTCTAAGGCCACATCTGCCTGCAGTGGTGGGTGGGGGATGGCAAGCCCTGGCTGTCCTCAGCTCCTCCTGGAGGGCTGGCCCCTCCCCTGTTCTTCGAGAATTTCTGGATGACAATTTCTGGATGACAGCAGACGGTGCGCTAGGAAGCAAAATAAAGGCCACAGGCTGAACATGTGCCCTGAGCCAGTGTGTGAGATGGAGTGTCCAGTGCCCCTGGCCGCGGAGCACAGAGGGAGGGGAACGTGTTGGGAGGAGTCAGGACCTCATGGAACGGGACATGTGGGCCCCGGAAGGGAGGAGACCCAGGAGACCCCGTCTCTGACTCCTTACAGGGACCACCTCATCAGCCTGGCTTAGGTCAAGGGTCAGGCCAGGTCCTGCCCCACCCTGCTCTCCCAGGCTGTTCTCAGAGGGGCTGGCTGCCCTGCCAGGCTGTCTCTCCCACCTCCCCGCAGGTGCTGTCGTCCCAGGCTCTGGAGTTGCCCTCAGTCAAGGCCACACAGCTGACCTTGCCCTCGGCTGCCACGCTGCCCCGCGCCTGGGGGAGGCGCGCCTGGGGGAGGTCAGGAGTGCTCGGCAGAAGGGATGCTCTGCTCTTCACGGATGTTCCCTTTCCCCGGAGCACAGCTTGAGATCTGGCGCAGGGCTGGGTCTGCCGGGCCTGCGTCCACCCCCCACTCTCGCCCGGGGCTTCGCTTGCAAGGCCTGGCAAGGACACGAGAACCAACTGTCCTGCCAGCCAAGTGCCCCAGCCACCTGGGAACCTCATCCCAGCTGTGCCTGGACTCCGCATCCCGCAGCAGGCTGGTCCTGCCCAGCCCGCCTCCCGGGAGATGCAGACGGGCGAGGGGAGGGTCTGAGGCCCAGGCATCTGAGGAGCACCGGAGCCCCCCACCTCAGCCAGCCTGAAGCGGCCTGGCTGCAATCAGCCCGGCTGGAGGTCACTCCAGGGGGAGAGTGGAGTCCCAGCGGTGACCTCAGGGCATCTTGGGGCTGAGCAACAGGCAGGCCTCCCTCTAGAGTTTGGCCCACCCCTCGGCAGGGGGGCAGTGTCCCTGCAGGACTCGGGGAGGCCTCTACAGGGGGTTAGCCAGTGGCCCTACCTGTGAGGTTGGGCTGTTGGGATTTTTAGATGCTGAGTTTTCTTGAAGAGGGCCCACCCGCATGGGTGCTGGTAACATTCAGGTGCTGTCTGCCGGAGGCAGGGAACCAGGCAAGGAGTTCACAGGACGTGAGGAATGTTATCCCTCCCTGATGATGATGGAGGGGGGCTACTGGTGCTGAAGGGGGCAGTGGCTGCTACTTACTGAGACCCATCTGTGTGCTGGACCCGGGGAGGCAGAGCCAGGTCACTCAAGGCCAGCCTGAGACTGAAGGGGATGTGGCCTGAGCCCTGAGAGAGGGAGAGACAAAGCCAGTGGACAGAGCTCCCAGAACTGCTGTGTGATCAGGGAGGGCTTCCTGGAGGAGGTGGTGTTTGGTCCAGCGTCAGAGAGGGCAGGACTTTATCAGAGGATGGTAGTCTCCATGAGGACTGGGACTCTAGGTCTTTTTGTTAACTGTCCCCTCCTGTCCCTGGCACTAAACATTTGTTGACTGAATAAATGAATCAAGTAAGCAATGGGGCTGTTGGCGTTGGGGCAGAGGAAACGATAATGAAATGCAACTGAGCCTCAGCCTGGAGCCTCTAATCAAGGTGCTGGACGAGAACTGGTGGCCCTGGCCTCTTCCTGGAGGTGGGGACAGGCTCTCCCCAGACTCTGACTGTTGTCCTCTCTGGCAGGGGCAGGAAACACCCACCCACCTCCACCCGGGCAGAGCTTTCTGGAGAGATGACGGCACTCTGCTTACAGGGGCCCACGGCCTGGCCTCTCCCCTACCCCCGCCTGGTCTCCGGACAGAGGCTGCAGGGGAAGTCAGGGCCACGCCTGGGCTTGGGCACCGGGCAGGGTGGGAGTGACCACAGGGCTGACCCGGTTCTCAGCCAGGATCCGGGGTCTCTCAGGTCACACTCGCACGCGAAGGCCGCTGCTTCCACTGGCCTGCCTGTGACCCGGACCTGCAGGAAGCGGCCCCCCGAGGCTGTGGAGTGGAAGGGGCGGACCGCAGTCTGGGGCTCTCACACCTGGCTCCGCCAGGCTCTGGGCTGCTGGAGCCTCCCTCCTCAGTGCTGGCGGGCTCCTCCCTGCCTCTGCTCCCAGGCTCCATCCCCGCCCTCCACACGTGTGCTCTGCCTCAGCCCTGAGCAGACTGGGGGGACCTGTGCCCAGAGGGGAGAACGTGGGGCAGGGGCGGGGCTGGAGGAGAAGGTCTGCCCTGCTAAGCCCAACAGTCAGACTCCGGGCTTCTCTGGGTTACTCACTGACTCTGTGCCCACCATTCTGCCCCTGCCCACGAGCTTTGACCCTCCCTGTGGACCCCAGTGCAGCTGCCACCTCCACCCTGCAGCCTTCCTGGGCTGCCCCAGGGGCATGGCTGTCCCATCTGTGCTCCCAGAGCTCCTGCAGCCCCCACTCCGGCTCTCCGCTCCGTCCTCCATGAGGTGCCTGAGCGGGCCTGTGCCCATCAAAGCCAGCCTTCAAGCCTGAGGAAGCGGCTCATCCACCATTCACCTGTGGCCCCCACAGCTCCCAGCCCCGGGCCCTGTGCCCCTGGCCGTCCCACAGATCTTCTCTTCGAAGGTGGCCTTGTGATGTTGACAAGATGCTGGGTCAAGGGGACCTCAAAGCCCCCGTGTCCAAAACTGACCCCATCGGCTTCGCCTGACCTGCCCATCCTGCTTCCGCGGGCACCTCC